CACACGCATACACACACACACACACACACGGTGTTGTCTCAATTCATGATGAGGTGATTCTTATGATGACTTGAGGTTAATGGATTTTGAATAAATATATTTCCATGTTCTGTTCATAATCAGAAATACCTTTCTCTCTCTAGCTCTGAACCAAAACCTAGTGAGCTGCCTTGTTGTGTACTACCTACAGAAGCAGCTGTCTTCTGATGGAGCGTTGTAACTGAAATGGAACCTTATAAGTAATTGATTTGGACCGCTTTATATTTAATTTTACAATGGATTTAAATTATGATACACCAGTATTAAAGCAAATAAATACACATAAATAAATAAATAAATAAATAAACAAACAGTCAAGGTAGATGCTAGTAGAAGTAGATGCTATACACTACATTTTAAAGTTCCTCAGTTATAAATGGACCACCTTGGTCGGCTATCTTGGAATAACTCTTTCCCTGCATCCGAATATGTCTACTTCCATACTATATAGTAGACGACTGAATTCATAGAATTCATAAAACAGTAGGGCGAAAAGTACCCGGATGACCTCTTACTTCTGCCAATAATAATAATAATAATAATAGTAATAATAATAGCATAGGTATTCAATGTCGGGGTAATGCTTTACAAGTAACGCAAGTTACGTAATCAGTTTACTTTTTTCTAGCAAAGTAACTAGCAAATTAACGCATTACTTTTTAATTTACAAGAAAAATACCTGAGTTACTTTTTCAAATAAGTACCGGCAGTTACTTTGTTTTCCCATTTATTGGCTGACAGCTCTCCTGTCCCCATGTTGAGAGAAATCAGGAGTAAGTGCAGCGGTGTTGTGTGCGCTGTGTAAACATGATGCTCACTGTAGTTCTAGACTAAATGTGATCATGCATTTACTCATCTCACTTGCACAAAAACAGATTCACTATTTCTCAAAATTAATAAAAACAGAATGACGCAAACCTGTAATAATTAAATCTAACACAAATATCCTTTAAGTATTTAATCCGATTTTATTAACCAATATCTTTGCTGCTTACCTGCGATGATCCAATTCAACCATACGTTTTTATAAAAAACAAACAAGCAAGCCCCATCCAGATGAGAAAATATAACACATTACTTTCCATAAAAGTAACTATGTAACGCAATTAGTTACTTTTTAAGGGAGTGACACAGTATTGTAAATCATTACTTTTAAACGTATATTTCCCCAACACTGTAGGTATTAGTAGTACCATTGGCATTATACTACTACTACTACTACTACTACTAATAATAATAATAACAATAAAACTAATACAATTTACATAACACTACATTTTTCACAGTACAATCTAGGACAAATGGGTCTTATATATTTAGCTGCCTTAATATTTTTGGAAGAGGGTCCCTTACAAGAGGGACAAATCATATTTGTTGGACATCAAAACGTTTCCTAAGAAGGCAGTGTTGGGTGTGTTTGTGACACCTAAAGATGGTGTCTAGGTAGACAGCTCACTAAGCTACTGAACCTTCTCTCCCTAGTTCATTTCGATTCATCTTTTTCCCTCCCTCTCTCTCTCTCTCTCTCTCTCAGCATGAATCAGGAATGGGAGGTGCAGACGGGAGGGGTGGAGCGTTGTAACGGATATTAAAATATTCCTCCAGTGTGGAGATAGCGGTGATCCGGGGAGCGATAGAGGGAGATAATGAAAAGAGGAACAAAAGTACTCCCCGCACGCTGAGTCTGACCCCCCTTTCTCCTCCTCCACCTCCCCCCCCCTTCTCCTCTCACACTCATTTACATAGTAATCACCCCGTGCTCTGCGAAAGGCCGGAGAGAGAGAGAGAGAGGAGAGA